ATATACCAGGGCCCGCGGAGCGTATTGGAGAGTGGGGGGGGGCTAAATCATCAATAAAACCCCCAATTAATTAATTTAGAAAGTTTCATTTAGATTTCTATTTTAATAATTTTGACTGTCAAACTAATAATTTTGACTTGCCCCCCCCGTCTCCGCGGTCCCTGTATAAACTTTCTGCAAGCAGCTTACAAGTTTAAAAAATGAAGGCTACATTACCTGAGTGAGTTGTAATCCTATTTCTTCAACAATAGTTTCGTATTTCTTACGATTTTGGTGTTGTATAGATGTTTTGTAGCCTTATTGGTTGTTTGTTTTGCCCATACAAACTTGGCAATATAAATACAAAGTCAAGGTTTCCTTTTTCGATTGACTCCAGCATCTTTTGCTTTAAATATCATAAGTTATATTTTTTCAGAAGTATTTTTCAACTTTCAAGATCAGTTTTATAAATATATTTTTCGAAAAAAGCCGTAATATTCACGAAAAAAAGCTGCCATAGCCGACAGCAAAAAAAAAACATTTTGTCAATTTTCCCGCGTTTTTCCCCGTTTCCTAGGATACGAGGCCTCATCACGATTTATGAATAAGGTCTATACCATAGATATAGGAGAACTAGATTGCTGACTGTAATGTATTCTATTACGCACGCGACGCGCCAACATGAGCATTCAAAATGGCGGCTCAACCGGTCAAAAATCATAGAGCGAGATAGGGAAAAATAATAGTCTTGTACTATTCTGTTTATATGAAGTATGTTATAGTGTACAAATATACGATGTGTGTTTCATACATAGACTTACCTATGGAAGGACAATTAGCGAATACCATCTTTTAAATCCCCACGTCTGGCCTTGCAGTTACACTCAGCACACAAAACAGGCCGAGATTCAAGGCATTCTTTTCGATAGAAAAACAGATTTTTTGGACTAGAATGCCCTAGAATTTTCAGATGAAAATACTGTATTTTCGTCGAAATAACAATGAAAGAACAAAATAAATAATAGTAACTTTTGGAATAATCAGATATATGTTACATTACTTTAGAAAAACTGGTAAAAGACTGAAGGAATACACAGGATAAGAAACCAGGCCGGCAGTTTCGCGCCATTTTCGTCTTTGCCCATTCTTGCCCGGTTGAATTTTAAACTGTAAATCGTACTAATTATAACAAATATACATCCCAAACTTTCACACCAGTTAGCTCTTCCAAAAAAAAGGTGGTTCAACGGGATCGAAAACAGTAGGACGACGTAAAATGCAAAAAAACATGGTTTTTCCCTATCTCGCTCTATGATTTTTGACCGGTTGAGCCGCCATCTTGGATTTTCAAATTTGGCGCGCCTCTTCAGCCGAGTCAGCAATCTAGGTCTCCTATATCTATGGTCTATACCTACGTGAACCAACACCGCGGAAAAATGTCTGCGCATGCGTCTACCTTACTTGTAATAGTATTGCGAACTTGATGAGAAGCTGTTCCGAACGTTTCCGAAGGCTCAAAATGGCGGTAAAAAGGAGTGACTTCATTGTGCGTCTTTACAGCCAGCTTTCGAGCGCAAAAATAAACATGTCATTCTAAAAACTAGGAATAAATACAGCCAGAAGGTTCAAGAAATTGTATTGTACAAGAACATGAACTAAAGGTGATTGTTGACAAATTTATCGTCTGAAACATTTTGTTTATCAATTAAGCAACGACCATTACCGAATTTTCGTTTGAGATACATTTCTTTAAAAAAAACTGTGTCGCCAAATATAAAAAATTTTCGTGTTCACAATAATTAAACTTTAGGATTTATTCTACAATTTAAGTGGGTTAAGAAGCTTAACTTTTCGAGAGTTTTCTTAACTTTTGAGTTTGAATTTTTGTTTTGAATAATTTTGCAAAAATTTTCGAAGTCGTGTCCGTTAAAATCAACAAATTTTTACATGAATTATATTTCATTCCATACTTTAAATGCCAGGGGCCGGTTGTATAAAAAAGTGATTAAAGTTAACTATAGTTAGTGGAAACGTCATCCAATAAGAAGCGCGTATTTGAGAGTTAATCACTATTTAACCACAAAATAGTGATTAAAAAAGTGGTTAAGAGTTTTATACAACCGGCCCCAGGACCTTACTTTACGTACTAAACTAAATTTACTTACAATTTTATTGAACCAAGATTTTGATGACGTAATGTTATAATTACTCAACCGCGCGAAATATACCGAAGAATGATTGACAGAAAGGCCCTATAAGCATGCACATTTTCATGTCAAAGAAGAACCAGCTTTGAACTTTGAATTATGTAAACACAACAGCCCACCATGCAAGGTTATCGTCCAACTTTGACAGTTTGACAAGTTATTTATCTTGCCTAATGGACAGATAATTGACACTTTTACACAAGTCCGAAATGATATATACTTTATCTGCGTTTTGCAGCAAAAATGTTCATTATCTCTCCATTTGACGTAACTAATATCTATAATTTCCTGGGGTGCAAACTGAACTATATTTATACTATTTAGATATACTTTCGTAACAGACGCGTGCCACATTAAATTACAGGTCAGCCGTTGAGTACTATTCCTGTGAATTATGATGCACAACACACCGGGTAACAAAATTTACCACTTTGTTCGGCTGTTCCAAGTACACTTTTAAGATGCAAGGTCCGTTATATCATGTTCTTCGAAGCATCTGCTCAAAACAGTCCAACATAAATATCATCACTCATCTTCTTCGTATGAAAATATAAGTTTTCCTTTCAATTGCTTTGCTTTAAAAACAGTCATTAGGTTGTTGAAGAGTTAGGCTAGAACCTCCAACAATAAAAACCCAGATGTTTTCAAAAACCAGTGAATCGCAATGCTGGAAACGTCAACATCCTTAGAAATTGTAATCCAAACATCGAAAAGCAAAATTCGCGGGAAAAAGCTCACGAGCCCGCACTATTTTTATGCAGCGTCGACGAAAGTCCACCCTGTTGTTCAGGTGGGAAATTTGTCGTCGCTGACCAAAAAATCGCGGACAGAAACAAATTAAAGCTCCATTGCATTTACATTCAAAACAAAGCAGAAAGTTAGCAAGAAGCTGTTTTAGTTGACGATTGTTTCCTTTCCATTGAAACGATTTACATGCAAATTAATGGTTATTCTTTTAAAAATCGATCATGAATTCTTGTTTTGGGATGATGTTTTTGTAATCGAGTGATTGGAAGAAGTGAATATGGCGACGTGAACATGGGAGCAAAATACCGTATACGTCGAACTATGGCTTGCTTAAAACCGTAATTAACGAGGAAAAACGTGATATGAGAATGAAATGTAAGTTGAAATTAATTTTATATGCCTCAAATTGTCCATCCTATATGTTTCTTAATGTAACTTCAGTGGTCTAAGTTCAACATACAAGCTCGCGAAATTTGACCAATTTTGAAAATATATAAAAATAGCTTGACTTTGAACTGTATTTTCTTAAAAATAGCCCGTGGCCTCAATTTCAAATTCAGCTAAATGAAAAGAAATTCTTTTCGGCGTTTGCAGGTACCAAACATATCGTCAGGAAAATAGGGGCTCACGATGTTTTAGCTAAGTCTTTGAGACCCAGTTGCTTCGCACTTGTTGTGGTCAAATTCTTGCCAAGAATCAAAGGCCCGGAAAGGTGAACTTCCTTCATGAAAGCCGCCTCGAGAAGGGTCTAGTTCGAAAATTTAGCTCTTAATTTCCATTTCATGAGCATATTTTGGTTACACGTTAAATTTTTTTGTACTTGATGAGATTCAAAATTTGTTGTATATTCAAGCCCGGCTTCAGTGTAATTTTGGTGATGACCGGAACACAAATGAAGATTTTTTAAAAACTGGCCGTGCCCTCACGATAAAACTTTCTCAGTAAAAATGTTCTCTGTTTCATGCATTTCATAGTATTTGATATCTTAGGTATAAGCGTAAAAATAGGGGCTCATACAGTTTATAAAATGCATGATTTGTCTCCATTTTCATGTAAACATTCGAAATGTTTCGACGCACAAAGTAGCAACTGTTTGTACTGAAATAGAACGTCACTAAAAAATTCTCAGGTATAATTAATTTAGATCATGTCCATTTTCGACATAAAACAGTCATTTATTTTGCACCAAACATTTGGCAATATTTACACAATTGTGCCGGTTGTGCATGTGTATTGCACGCAATTGCCTGGCTCATTTTGCTCGCGCATGCTTAGACAAATTTCTCACCTGTTGTGTTATACTGTTATGTAACACACCTTACAACGTGGCGTGAATGGTGTGTTATACAGCATGGCTTTAGGTGTGTTCTAAAACACGTCATGGTGTGTACGAAAACACGCAATGGTGTACTTAACAGCGTGTTATACAGCGTGGCTTTTAATAGGTGTGTTCTAGAACACGCCATGATGTGTATGAAAACACGTCATGTTGTGTACGAAAACACGCAATGGTGTACTTAAAAACTCACCTTTATACAAAACACACCTTAAGGTTTGTTAAAATTTGGACAAGCCGAAAACAGACCTTAAGGGGGGTTTTAGAACACATCTTAAGGTGGCTAAATACAGTTTTTAAATAAAATGAAAAATTCACGATTTTGATGCGTATATTTTTGGACAATTATTACTTGTTGATAAATAAAAGTACCTTACTTATGTAAAACAACATCTAAAGAGTTTGAATTTTTGCACAAAAGCTACGCAACTGCCGTTGCTATGGCAACAATGACGTTTCAAGATGGCGGATATTTTGGCCTCAAAGTAATTTAATCTAAAAAAAATTATTTCTCTTAGTAAATCAATTATTTTGACAATTTAAAAAAAATTGTGTGGAGTGTCTGTTATCACTGTATCTGGGATTCCATGTCGTGCAAACTGGACTTTGCAGGCTACTATGACTTTATCAGCGGTAGTTCTCGTAAGTTCTTGGACCTCGAAGAATCCACTCCAGTTGTCTACGAGCAGAAAAAAGTGTTGTTTTCCAAGCTCAAAAAGGTCCATACTGACCGTTTCCCAGGGACGGAATGGTAATGGGTATGGTTTTAATTCTTCACGACATTGTACAGGTTGATACGCCTGGCGTGTTGGGCATTTTGAAATCAAATCTTTAAATTAACCTCTACGTTCATGACTGGCCAATATAACGGGCTCTCCAAAGACATCCTTCTATGCCAACATCGGTGAATCTTCGTCAGCATTTCTTTTCTCGTTGATGTGGGGACGTACTAAACGTTCTCCAGCGAACACTAGTCCAGTATCTACTACTAGTTCACTTCTTTTGTCGTAGAAAGGTGTCAAGTCCTGGCCGCACTGTCTCCTGGATGTAGGCCAGCCATTTTTTACCGCGACGATGATACTCTGCATGGTTTTGTCTGACGGTGTCTCGCGCTTGAACTGGTTGAGTCTGTCTGGAGAAATAGACAGATTCTCTGCATCGTCGATCTCTTCCAGGGCTCGTACTTCAGTCGTGTCATGGCGCCAAGATTCTGTTGCATTCCGATATGCACGACTCAGGGTATCCGATATCCACATAAGTTTGCCTTTCTTGTACTGCACGTTGAGATTGTAATTTTGGAGGGCCAGCAGCATTCTCTGCAACCGTTTAGGCGAGCTATGTACGGGTTTGATGAAACTGCCTTAAGCGGTTCATGATCGGATTCTATGGTAATGATTTCTCGACCGAGGATATACTGATCGAATTTGCTTGTTGCCCAGACAATCGCTATAGTAATTCTTTTTCAATCTGGGCGCAACAAGTCTCTGTATCTGTGGGTGCCCACGAAGCAAAAACAACGGGTTGTCCGTCCTACGTCAAGACAGCACCTAGACCTGTCTCACTAGCATCACATTCAATAGTAACTTCCTTGCTGACATCGTAGTATCTCAGGACCGGCGCTTTGGCTAGACTTCTTGACAATGTCATACGCTTGCTTGTGTTGTTCGAGCCAACACCACTCTACATCCTTATCTCCGAGCCTTCTGAGCGGTTCCGTCATGTCCGACAATAAATTAAAGGTAAAACCTTTGCCAAATAGTTTACCATCCCGAGAAATCTTTTGAGGCTTTTTGCATTGAATATCTTGGTTTTGTCTTTCGAGATTGTTTACTTTCTACACCGGCGTCTTCTTGTTGTGTTCTCCTTTAGCGTGTTTACAAAATCCTCTCCAGTGCTCATGAGCTTGACTTGTTGCTGTGTTTGTTCCGCGGCTTTGATAGTGTCGACTGCTTTCTGTAACATGAGATCGTTTAGCCTTAACAAACGTTCTCGGACGCGGTCATCACGAATGCCTAAAACAAGCCGATCCCGTAAAATTTCGTCTGGTGCAATCGAGTCATGTGTACAATTTCTGGCGATTTTCTGGCGGAGGTTGCGATGTTTTCCCCATGTGCCTGGTTTCTATTGTTGAAACGGTATAGTTCATAGATTATTTGAGTTGTAGGTGAACAATATTCATCAAATTTTTTAAGTACAATGTCAACATCATTTTGATTCTCGTCTTCGCCCCAAGTAAAAGTGTCATATGCCTTAACACCGTCCTCGCCTATTACGCTTAACAAGGTTTATACTCTGACAATACCTTCTTGTTTTTGTACACCGATCGCAATCTCATATCGTGTCCATGCTTTCTTCCAAGATTCCCACGTAGTTGCCAAGTTGTCGTCGAATATAAGGGACTTTGGTGGTGGAAAATTCGATGGCGCTATAAATATTTGTGGTATTTGGGCCATTTGTGGCGCTTGGGCTTCTGCTTGTGGCTCAACCATTGTTTTATTTTGACTCAGAACACTCCTGACACCATGTAAAGCCGGTTTTCCACTTCGCCCGTACCGAAACGTACTGGTGAGCATGCGCAGATTGAAAACAGGTTTATAAATCACGTACTTCCGGGTGTATTCGCGTATCAAAATAAAAAGTTCGTTACAAGTCAACTTTTCACGATATTTTGAAATTTAAAAACGTTTTTGATACGTTTCGGTACGGTACGCTTGAAGTGGAAAACCGGCTTAACGTGTTAGTTTACTACGTGATATAGTTTCTGATGAACAAGAAAATTATCGAGAGAAGTAGCTATTTGTTTACATCGTACGCCCACCTCCGTGCCATGCCAATCAAATTAATGTTTTCGTCATCGTGACGTCACTTAATAACATCGTGACAGTGTGTTTGAAAACACATCTAAAGGTTTTAGAGTGTGGTCAGCATATTGAGAGAGCTTAATATAGACAGTAAGCCTCCACAGCCTGAAATTGTTGGTCTTTCTGGAATGTCCTATTGGTGGATTTTTGTTAAAAGATAGAGATGTGCTGTTAATTGTTCTTGCTTGTGTATCTATTGGGAGGAATTTGTGTGTTGTACTGTCTATATTATGTCTGATATGCATGTGGAGTTTATTGACAAGTCTTGGCGATGATTTGAGTTCTTTAATTGTCTACATGCCTCAGCTAGATAGGCATCTTTGGGCCAGATTACAATAGCTCCTCCCTTGTCTTCTGGTTGAAACAAATCAAATCATTATCAGTTTTAAGGTTATGGATAGCTTGTAGTTCATCTTTAGATATATTTGGTTTTGCAGGTTCTTTGTGTTTCTCATATTCATTGTTGAGATCATGATAAATGTTTGAAATGTATTCTTGAAGGTTCCTGTTATCAGGTATATGAGAGTGTTTGTTTTGTGCCTAAAACCTAAAGAAATATCTGCATGTTGTACATGTCTTTTTTGTATTTTACGAAAGAGTTATAAATTTGCTTGTATGGAGCTGGTTTGGGGGAAGGGATGTAACACAATAATGTGGATTTAGAAAAGTTTTTATCTGATAGGTAAATGACAGCTTTGTATTGTATGTTGTTGTGCATTTTTTTGTGCAATTTGTTTTTGATAAGGTGTCTGTTACTTTTGTTATGTCCCTGTACGCTGCGTTTCTTCCTTCACGGACTCATCAACGACTCAGCGCGAAAGCTTTTTATCGGTAAACTTTTAATTAAAACTGTTATTGACCTTCTCGCTATTTCTTTGTTTCGAGAGAATAATTTTACCTCTGTCAACCAAATTTATTCGAGAAATTCTGGTCTGCAAGACTGCATCCAACTGAATATCCTTTACAACATAACTTACAGGGTTACGGCAATACGGAGTATATACAGTAGGTTACAATCCTGCTTTATCGTGCGACGAAGCAAACCGCAAATTCCCGAACGGACGTCTGTTCATAATCATTTTGTTTCTGTTTAGTTCAATTATTACTCCGTGTGCATGCGCATGTGCAGTGGTAGTCATTCTTCTGTGGCATTTTCAGATGGGGTGTTAAATTACTCATAGCTAACTAGGTATGAATCACCCGTACTCAACATGCAAAAGGTCTGCGTTGCTGTGAACAACATTTTTAGGGAGTTGAGCCCAAACCACATTTTGTGTATTTTGCCAACCGAGGCCATGCAAGAGTGAACGCCTGAGCTTGAGCTGGCGTCTTGTTATGCATGGTTCCACAAACGCACTAAACGATTAGTGTGAACTACCGGTATATTATATTGTATTTTATAGATATTGGGTTCGATATTATAAATATTGGATTTCACTCCAGACATTTGATTGTTTTTAGTTAGTAATATAGCTAGTTAAATTAATTAATTTGTTGTAAAACTTACACAATTCAGTGTAAAGCTGCCATGTAATATATTAAATAATCTATCAATCAATCTATGTACTATTTAAAGCACAAAAACGACTCATCTTATACGAGTTCATTGGCGAAGTAATTTTTAAAATAAACTTTGTCTAAACCGAGAAAATCAAAGCTAAAGTTTATGTAAATTAACGTGATTTTTTATCACATATAAAACCAAGACACGCTTCTGATTTTTCTTTATGTTTTGCTCCTATTTAAAACACGAGTAGGAGTGTTTTACCAGATTATGTTTTATGTTTGATAATACACAACAACGAGTGTTTTGAATAGCTTAAAATACGACTACAAAAGAATACTAATTACGATGAACAATTATATAATAATACTAATTACTTTGAAATAGGATTAACAATTATATAAAGAATACTAATTAAGATGAGTTTTATCAGATATAAAGTCTCTCCACGTGACATATTATGGCTGACATGATTTGCCACAAGATTTGTGAATTATTAATGAGTATTTTAACTATGCCCAATGGACCTAAGAAATGCTAACGTCATATAATTTTCAAACAAACTGTGCATTCCAGAATTCCCTGTATTCTCTGTATTAAAAAATGCGTGACGTAACCACTTCTAAGGTCTATTTGGGTCCACCAACTTTGACTGTAGACGTCTACCTGTAACCAATACTTAACGCCTCAAAATCATAGTCAATATCATATTAGAGAGTTTAAGACCTACGACGCACCAAGTCAACGCGCCTTCAAAACCAAGAAATTCTTCATGCAAAGACAAAAAAGGTATGAATAATTTGTGGTCCGGGGAGTATATCCTATAGACAGCGCTGTCATTCTGCATGATAAGCTTTTCTAGGCCTCCGGATAAGCTTTTCTAGGCCTAACAAAGTATTTAAGCCCATAACTATTAATGGTAAAATGTCGAGGTCGTAACATCTAGAAAAACTTGGGCCTTACCATCTCTAATGATCTCAAACGGAACACTCACATTTCGAATACTTGTAAAAAGGTATCAACACGGCTATATTTTCTAAGACAATTAAAACGTGCCAAATTGCCACCCAACGATCTGGTTCTGTTTTATATCATCTGTATTCGTCCAGTCGTCGAGTATGCGTGCGAAGTATTCCGTAACTCGCTGCCGCAGTACCTGTCCGATGACTTAGAAAAACTTCAAAAACGTGTTTTTCGTATAATTTTTCCTGATATGCACTACAAAGATGTCTTGGAGACCAAGAACATTTTGTCACTGAACGATCGAAGACAAAAATTAACAACAAAGTTGTTTAACGAAATAGCCAGCAACTCACATCATAATTTATACGACCTCCTCCCGCCATTAAATACCGACGATCACCTTTTAAGGAATCATAGAAATTTTGAACTTCCTGTGTGTAAAACGAGCAGACTTAATGACAGTTTTATCATGCACAATTCTAATATACATTTTAGATAGTTGATTTGATTTTTAAATTTTTAAATGTAAATAGGGTTCATAGCATATATTCTTAATATTATTAAAGATCTCAGACCTATCTCACTGACCCCGAGCATATCCAAAGTAGCTGAAAAATGTGTGGTAAATAGATACATCAAACCTGCGGTTCTGAAATCCATCGACTCAAATCAATTTGGTTCTATTCCTAATTCTTCAACCACTTTTGCTTTAATAGACCTGTTACATCACTGGACCTCAATGCTGGACGGAACAGGAGCAACTATCCGAGTGCTTCTATTTGACTATAAAAAGGCATTCGATTTCATCGATCATAGTATCCTAAGGATCAAGTTAGGTGCTTTAGATTTACCAACTAGTATCATCAACTGGATTATCGACTTTTTATCGGATAGATATCAAAGGGTTAAGCTGTCAAATAGTTGCCTTTCTGAAGGGGGCCAAGTACCGGCTGGTGTTCCTCAAGGAACCAAATTAGGCCCTTGGCTCTTCTTAATAATGATTAATGATTTGAAGAAACATAGTGAGAACTTATGGACATACGTTGACGATACCACGGCGTCGGAAGTCGTATTGCAAGGCGAGCACAGTGAAGCTCAACTGATTGCAAATGAAATTTTAGATTGGTCTAATATCAATAGAATGCAATTAAATGCTGATAAATGTAAGGAGATACGAATTTCTTTTGCACGGAATCAACCCGAGCTTAACCCAATTTCAATTGAGAATCAAATCATAGAAGTTGTATCCGATTTTAAAGTGCTTGGTCTTAACATTAGCAACAACCTTACGTGGAATAAACATATCACTGAATTAGTCAAGAAAGCCTCCAAAAGGATATATTTCCTTATTCAACTTAAGAGAGCAAAAATCCCACTACAAGAACTAATCACATTTTACATAACCTGTATAAGATCCGTGTTGGACTATGCTGTCCCGGTTTTCCACTACAGCCTACCCAAGTATTTAAGTCAAGATTTGGAACGAGTCCAGAAACGCGTATTTGGAATTATTTATCCCCATTTGAAATATGAGGAAGCTTTAAATCTCAGTGGAATTGAACATCTTTCCACTCACCATCAAAACGGCTGCAAGAAATTGTTTAATGCAATTATCAAAGATTCTAATCACAGTCTACATTACCTCTTGCCGCCAAGGCATAACTCCATCCACGACCTGAGATCTATTAGATCTTTTGACGTTCCAGTTTGTAAAACCAATCGGTTTAGTAATAGTTTTATTATGGCATCGAGTAGCAAAACTGAATAGGTTTTACTCTTCATTTACCTATTTTATATTCTTAATAACTTTTGCATGCTTATTATAAACAGACACTTTTGACAATTTAGTTAATTAATTATAATACTTTGATATATTTCAAAACTATAATTTTTAATAATTTTTATTGTAAGTATAATACGCAATTCAGCTCATGGCTGCAATGTATTTACCATTTCTAAATAAAGTATAAAGTATAAAGTATCTTATATCTGTTAAACTTAGCGTAATTCAGCTGTGAAATTTTCTGAGGCTGTAAGTAATCTATCTATCTATCTATCTATCTATCTATCTATCTATCTATCTATCTATCTATCTATCTATCTATCTATCTATCTGTCTGAATATGATCACGTCTTTGCAGCAACGTGAAAGCTTATTGCG